CAGTCTATCTGGTCATCCCCTGTACTGTGTCTGCAGTCTCTGGTCATCCTGTACTACTGGTCTGCAGTCTCTGGTCATCCCTGTACTGTGTCTGCAGTCTCTGGTCATCCCTGTACTGTGTCTGCAGTCTCTGGTCATATCCCTGTACTGTGTCTGCAGTCTCTGGTCATCCCTGTACTGTGTCTGCAGTCTCTGTCATTTACCCTGTACTGTGTCTGCAGTCCTGGTCATCGGTACTGTTTAATTATTTGCACTACTGTACGATTTGATTTTTTTCTAAATCAAAAGCTCGAATTCAGGTTTCATTGCAGTGTTGGCACTTTGAAAGAAATAAGTTTGGTTTTGGTTGCAGTTTTGGGCACTCGGCTCAAAAAGGTTCGCCATCACTCCCTCAGGGTGACACATAGGGGTTTATTTACTAAAGATGGAGAGTCCAAAATCAGCTCCCTTCTGCATAGAAACCAATCAGCTTCCCAGTTTCATTGCCAAAGCTTCATTGAACAAGCTAAGGTTAGAAGCTGATTGGTTTCTATGCAGAAGGGAGTCCTGATTTTGGACTCTCCAGCTTTAGTAAATAAACCCCATATTGTCTCCAAGCTGCCTGTCAACTGCCTCTAAAAAGCTGTGATGTGTAGCTTTTCAGAGGAGCGGCAATGATAGCTGCAAGTGTAAGTGAGCCCTTTCAGCTGGCCATACATGCATGAAAATGTTCTATAGAAGTCAATCTACTGATCAACTTCTGTACAGTCACCTTGTAGGATTTTCCCCGCTCAAACAGTGCTGCAGGCTATAGTCTGCGACGCTGATCAGTGTATTATGATAGCAGGAAGACTACCCAGTGTCAGAATACAATAGCTCAGTGGGCAGGATTCCCCCATCCACATCAAGTGTGTGGATGAGGGAATTGAATCAGCTTTTTCATTCAACCTGTTGGTCTGTCAAATGCAATAGGTGCATAAGTTTTTTTTAAAAATGTTTACTGGACATGGCAAAAAGTCACAAATATTGTGTTTTTCCTAAAACTTGTCGGACTTTTTTTTTTTATAGCACAAAAAAAAAAAAAATTAAAAAAAAAAAATGCACAGGTGATCAAATATCACCAAAAGAAAGCTCAATTCGTGGTAAAAAAAAAAAGTAAATTTCATTTGGGTGCAGCGTTGCATGACCCCGCGCAATTTCCAGTTAAAGTAACAGCACCGGAACGCAAAAAATGGCCTAGTCAGGAAGGGGGGTAAATCTTCAGGAGGGCAAGTGGTTAACTTGCAGAGGGGCGGTAACACTGCAATGTAAAGTGGTTATAAAGTGATGGTTAAGGCAAAGTTTTTTTTTTTTTTTTTTTTAAATAACAAGCATGTCACACTTACCTTACCTAATCATTAGTAAGACCTCATCTGGAATATGCAGTTCAGTTTTGGGCACCAATTCACAAAAAGAACATTGGGGAACTGGAGAAAGTACAGAAAAGGGCAACCAAACTGATATGAGGCATGGAGGAGCTCAGCTATGAGGAAAGATTAGAGGAACTGAATTTATTCTCTCTTGAGAAGAGGAGATTAAGGGGGGATATGATCAACATGTATAAATACATCAGTGGATCATATAGTGAACTCGGTGTAGAGTTATTCACCCTGAGGTCATCACAGAGGACAAGGGGCACTCTTTACGCCTGGAGGAAAAAGAAATGTAATCTCCAAACACGGAAAGGTTTCTTCACAGTGAGAGCTGTGAAAATGTGTAATACACTCCCTCAGGAGTTGGTTCTGGCCAGCTCAGTGGATTGCTTTAAAAAAAAAAAGGTGTGGATTCTTTCTTAGATACACAGAATATAACTGGATATAACATTTTATAACTTTTTTTTTGCTTGGCAATTGAACTGGATAGACTTTTGTCTTTTTATAGCCAGACTAACTATGTAACCTGCTCTGTGTAAGGATTTTGCACAAAGCAGCCCCAATTCTGTTCTTCTGGGGTCTCCTTGGCAGTGCTCCTGGCCCCCCCCTTCACTGGCAGTAATTGACAGCAGCAGGAACCAATGGCTCCCACTGCTGTGTCTGAGCCAATAAGGAGAGAGTGCACATTGCTGGATCAAGATCAGGTCCTCCTTGCAGAAGGTTTTTACCTTAATGGATAAATTCACCTTTTATTTAAAAATAAATTTAAAAAAAATGCAAATTTTTTTTGCACGTAAAAAAAAAAAAAGTGCATTTATTATTTTGGTCAGCAGGAGCCTGTAAACCATTGCACCAGCAATCACCAGATCGCTGGTTCCCATGCAGGTCTCCTGCAGACCTGTCAGTATATCTGCTTGCTCTAACGGAATGTATGGACAAGCAGGAGGAATGAACTAGCACAGCACCATGGTAATCCACTGAAGAACTACAAGCTGACAGCTGCTAAGACTGTTGGAACTTGTAGTCCCTCATTCACAGCTGACTGAATGAGTGACGTGGTTGCGTTTTAAACAAATCTGACAGCTAGTGAGGGGTGGGGAGAAGATCCCCTGCTAGCTGTCAAAGCTGGGACCAGGGGGGAGAGTGGGAGCCGGTCTGATTGTACCGGTTCCATGTCATACACGGAATGTGGGTGTGACATGTTACAAAAGGTGAACTTATCCTTTAACCTCCCTAGTGGTATTCCCGAGTGTAGCTCGGGGTAAAGTTTCAGTACCAAAAGCGGTAACCCCCCCGAGCTACACTCGGGCTTACCATGCGGTGCTGCATAGGGAGTCCCTGCAGCACTTACCTTGTCCTTCGCTCCCGCGATGTGTCCCCTGCAGCGTCCCCGGCCATCTCCTCCAGCTGATGCCGGCATCCGGCTTCTCTGTTCCGGTCCCTGTGACGTCGGGATGTACGGGCGCCGTCGGCAGTGGCAGGAAATTTGAAAATTTTAAAAAAAAAATGTAATTTTTTTCCAAACAAATTTTACATAGTAAAACATTGCTGTTTCAACCCATTTCACATACATTTTTGTCCCGAATGCTTTGTCCTGCGCCCTGCCTGCATTTTGACTGTTCTTTCTGCCTGGAAACTTAGAAATGTCCATGGCGTCCAAAAAGCGTCTCTGTAGGTCAAAAGCGGTTTAGATCGACTAGAGAACAGCGATAGTAAATCAGAACCACTTGCAGAATTGAGTGATAATGATTTGTGGGGGAAATTCGTCATCAGACACTGAAACCGATTCTGCGACTTTGCTCAGTGATGTGCGAACTTGGCGCTATATTTCAAATTTCAGTGTTTTTGGTTTGATTATATTATTGAATTAAATGTATTATTTATTATTATATTATTATTTATGGTTATTTATTAATTTATAATTTATGATTTCATGTTTCAAGTTTTATCATACCCGGGATGTTTACTAGACTCTTGTTCGGACAGATTTCAGTGAGTTATTCCTAAATATTACAGCCTACAATAAAAAACTACATATTTCCATGCAGAAAAATGGTACCGCTTTCAGCACCAAAAATCTGAAATAATCATACCGCCAGGGAGGTTAATGCAGAGAATGCATTACGGCAGCGGCTTTCCCTCCTCACAGGGCATATTGATAGCAGTGGGAGCCAAATCCTGTTACAGGGGATTGGCCGTGCTGCCTGTATCTATAGACGAAGGCAGCATAGTTTAGAATCAAGACCGCATAAGTGCCCCCATATGGCTGCAATGTCTTCCTATGGGGAACTCACCAAAGTGAAGCCACCTCTATGGGGGCTGCTCTGTGCAAAACCATTACACAAAGCACCTCTAGGTATAACATGCAATTTTATGGGGGGTTATTTAAAAAAAAAAAAAAAAGGGGGGTTTTGAATTACTTTAGGCCCGTTTTTTACACCCCCACCCCCTGTGTAAACGAAGCCTCATACATGGCACTGACCTGTACAAAGTATACAGTGTATGTGGCAGAACCCCCCCTGAGGGAAGCAAAGGACAAGCTGTGCACATGGACAGGAGGGCATATGGCTGTACCCCCCCCCCCGTGTTGGCTGTACATCCCCCTGCCTGCACCTCTATGGCTGTACACCCCCCCCCCCAGCCCCCCTATGGCTGCTGTACATCCCCCCCCCCCCCCCAGCATCCCCCCCCCCCCCCCTATGGCTGTACATCCCCCCCCCCCCCCCAGCCCCCCTATGGCTGTACATCCCCCCCCCCCAGCCCCCCTATGGCTGTACATCCCCCCCCCCCCAGCCCCCCTATGGTTGTACATGATCCCCCCCCCCCCCCCCCCAGCCCCTCTATGGCTGTACATCCCCCCCCCCCCCAGCCCCTCTATGGCTGTACATCCCCCCCCCCAGCCCCTCTATGGCTGTACATCCCCCCCCCCAGCCCCTCTATGGCCGTACACATCCCCCCCCCAGCCCCTCTATGGCCGTACATCCCCCCCCCAGCCCCTCTATGGCCGTACATCCCCCCCCCCCCCCCCCCCCCCCAGCCCCTCTATGGCCGTACATCCCCCAGCCCCTCTATGGCTGTACATCCCCCCCCCCCCCCCCCCCCAAAGGCCGTACATCCCCCCCCCCCCAGCCCCTCTATGGCCGTACATCCCCCCCCCCCCAGCCCCTCTATGGCCGTACATCCCCCCCCCCAGCCCCTTCTATGGCTGTACATCCCCCCCCCCCCAGCCCTTCTATGGATGTACATCATCCCCCCCCCAGCCCCTCTATGGCTGTACATCCCCCCCCCCCCCCCAGCCCCTCTATGGCTGTACATCCCCCCCCCCCCCCCCCAGCCCCCCCTCTATGGCTGTACACACCCCCCCCCCCCCCAGCCCCTCTATGGCTGTACACCCCCCCCCCCCAGCCCCTCTATGGCTGTACATCCCCCCCCCCCCCCCCCCCCCAGCCCCTCTATGGCTGTACATCCCCCCCCCCCAGCCCCTCTATGGCTGTACATCCCCCCCCAGCCCCTCTATGGCTGTACATCCCCAGCCCCTCTATGGCTGTACATCCCCCCCCCCCCAGCCCCCCTATGGCTGTACATCCCCCCCCCCCCCTCCCTCCTTACCTTTCCGCAGCTCCCTATCCCACACGGCGACAATGACCCTGGAGTGCTTTCTATGGTGGATCAGCCACAGGGACAAGGTCTGCACACTCTGCTGGGAGTTACTCAGCTCCGACAGCTTTTTCTCCAGGGCCGCCTCGGAGAACGCAGACATGCCGGCCAGCTGCTGCCCACTCACTGCCAGCACCGCCCGAGCTTCACACACCGCGGACGCCGGACACTCGGCCGTGCTGCTGCCTTTACCGACGGCCAGATACCATAACTACTGAACGCTAACGCTGCTATCTCACCACAGGCAGGAAACAGTACGCGGCAAAAAGCGGAAGTGACGTCGGAACACGTTGTGTGTGTTGTTTTTGCCAGGAAGAGGTTAACAGCCATGTTGGTACACCTATGGAATCTGGACTGTACAGAACATCCCTGCCATCTAGTGGCCGCTTAGGTGTAATGCACTGCTCCCGCTGTTGACTTGTGTAGGGTTAAAGTGGAGCTCCAGCCGTTTTTGTGCTCATCTACAAAAACTGTATCAGCTGAGTTTTAATAAACAAACATTTACCTGTCTCAGGGTCCAGCGATGTGCTCACCAGTGCTGTCCCTTCTCTCCCTCTTCTCTCCGTCTCATCACAACTGTGGGCACCCGGCTGTGACAGCTTGCGGCTTCATAGCCAGGTGCCCACTGCACATGCGTGAGTCGCGCTTCGCATCTGATTGGTCCAACAGTCTTCTGGGACCTGTGAAGGAGACTGAGGGAGGAAGGAGGGGGCTGAACTTCCGCCTCACTTCTCCGCGGTGAACTGAGCAGGAAGTGGGAGCAGGTACCTGTAAAAACCAGGTATCCGCTCCCCCCTCTCCCCAAAAGATGGCAAATATAGCAGTAGAGGGGGGAGGAGGCAAACAAGCAGAGCTTCCACGTTTGGGTGGAACTCCACTTTAAAGTGTTACTAAACCTATGACCCTGCATTCACTATATGTGGTCTCCCACAGTACACAGAACATAGAAATGCAATTATTTTAGTAAATATAAACTGCTAAATACCTTTTCTCATCAGCCGTTAGAGCAATCTTGTGACTTCTATCAGTGTTCAGCAGAGCGCTGGTTAAAGCTTTTAGGAGGAGTTTTCTTTCTGCTCTAGCAGGATGCAGAACCCCTGAATGCTGTCTGGATAGTGATAATAGTAGTAAAAGTGAGCGCTAACCAGACAGCAGCTGTGCTCTCAAGGTAACCAACATAAGCCTTATAAACAGAATGAATAAACAGTGCAGCGCTAGAAATATGATTGACAATAAATGTTCTAAATAAATGATATAAAAAATGGGGGAAAAAAAATCAAAGTTCTATGCAAACAGTCTGTGTGATTATAAAGTGCCAGGTGACTGGTAGATTCAATGGTGGTGCTCCGTGAGAAATAGCAGAATTGCGCACTCACCAGAAGTAAAATGATTAAACAAGTTATATATCACATCTAGAGATATCCTCATCAGGTATAGGTCTGGTCAGGTTAGGTATTCCTCCCTCAAGGTAGTAATCACCAGATGCCCACAAACAAAATTATTCGGATCCAGGTAACCAGAGGTCTCTATTAGGGGAATGGGTAGAAGGAGCTGCCTGCTTACAGGATGTCTTCCTCCTCTTGGTAAGGTAACTGGATCATAATACTGGGCTCTGTGAATAAATACTCCTCTCGGGGAGTCAAGGAAGGATGCCCATAGTGTAGTATTGAAAATTATAAATTTATTGATTAAGAATATGTTTGCAAACAAAATAAAACTAAAAACAGCATCAGGGTGTAGAAATGAGACTAACCCTTTGGTAATAATGGCCAGGCCTCCACGTGGCTCCGGCGGCGTAGCATCACGACGTCCTGGCCCCTCCTTACGTGTTACGTGCGCACGCACTTAATCAGAGGAAGGAACCAATGACGCCATGACGAGACTGACAGCTTAAATAGGCGCAATGGCGCATGCGCGTTGAGCCGGCACCATTTTATTGAACCCATTGATTGTCTATTAGTGTGCGCTCATGTGCCATTTTGCTAATGGTTTTGTACAGGTCGGAAATATGTGTAGGCGCAATGGCGCATGTGTGTTTAGCCGGCGCCATTTTATTAAAGCCTATGATTGTGTATTGGCGTGCGCTCATGCGCCATTTTTTGCTGATGGTTACATGTATACGTTCATTCGTTATTGTGATTAAATGATGATGGTATATCATTTAAGTGAGCGCTAATAATGATTGCTATGCTCAGTAAGTTAATAATACTGAACAAATGAATAATAATATTAGCAACCAGTCCGATGGTGTAAAAATTGTTTTATAAATATTGCTATTAAAATTGTCCGAAATAAATTACTAAAAAAAGTGAAAATATTAGATAATATCCGGCAAAAATTAATACACTAAAACACCTGTTAATGCGATAATAAATAATAAAGGGGAAATGAACCCAAACAAACATATATAAAAAAATAAATTATTATTAAGTTCCTCAGAACTTGTATTATAATAAAAAATTAATAAAATTATATTGTGTTAGGTAAAGAAATATATATAAAAGACATCCAACAAATTGGCTAAGATGAAAAAAATGAAGGTACTAAAATCATATATAATAAATATAATAAATTTTGATAAATAGTACATCCTGAAAGGAAATGAAGCACATATCCTAAAACTGGCAAATTTGTTCTGTAATGAACTGTGTTGAATGTGCTGAAGTAAATTCTTAAATAATACTAATATAAGTTATAAAATAACTATAAAAGAGGATACAACACACATAAAAATCAGATAAATTAACTATTGTCGATAAAGCAATTCGTCACAGTTCACTACATTTTTATTATAAAACAATTTTTACACCATCGGACTAGTTGCTAATATTATTATTCATTTATTCAGTATTATTAACTTACTGAGCATAGCAATGATTATTAGCGCTCACTTAAATGATATACCATCATCATTTACCTAACATTAACACACCTGTATAATCATCAAATTATATCATCTTGAAATCCTTCTCATTTGGATAATTCTGACACCCACTTTCTATGGCAACATATTGCACTAACGAATGAACGTATACATGTAACCATCAGCAAAATGGCGCATGAGCGCACGCCAATACACAATCATAGGCTTTAACAAAATGGCGCCGGCTAAACACGCATGCGCCGTTGCGCCTACACATATTTCCGACCTGTACAAAACCATTAGCAAAATGGCGCATGAGCGCACGCTAATAGACAATCATAGGCTTCAATAAAATGGCGCACATGCGCCATTGCGCCTATTTAAGCTGTCAGTCTCGTCATGGCGTCATTGGTTCCTTCCTCTGATGAAGTGCGTGCTCACGTAATGCTTAAGGAGGGGCCAGGACGTCGTGACACTACGCCGCCGGAGCCACGTGGAGGCCCGGTGGCCATCTTTGATTACCAAAGGGTTAGTCTCATTTTTACACCCTGATGCTGTTTTTAGTTTTATTGGTTTTGCAAACATATTCTTAATCAATAAATTTATAATTTTCAATACTACACTATGGGCATCCTTCCCTGACTCCCCGAGAGGAGTATTTGTTCACAGAGCCCAGTATTATGATCCAGTTACCTTACCAAGAGGAGGAAGACATCCTGTAAGCAGGCAGCTCCTTCTACCCATCCCATAATAGGGACCTCTGGTTACCTGGATCCGAATAATTTTGTTTGTGGGCATCTGGTGATTACTACCTTGAGGGAGGAATACCTAACCTGACCAGACCAATAGCTGATGAGGATATCTCTAGATGTGATATATAACTTGTTTAATCATTTTACTTCTGGTGAGTGCGCAATTCTGCTATTTCTCACGGAGCACCACCATTGAATCTACCAGTCACCTGGCACTTTATAATCACACAGACTGTTTGCATTGAACTTTGATTTTTTCCCCCATTTTTTATATCATTTATTTAGAACATTTATTGTCAATCATATTTCTAGCGCTGCCCTGTTTATTCATTCTGTCTGGACAGTGCTGATTGGCCTTGTACTGATCACATGCACTCTCCCAAGAAAAAAAGAAAAAAAACCTCTCTAGCAATACACACCAAACTGAGCATGTGCAGAATGGCTATGGTTCAGTCTGTCTTATCAAGAGATAAGATGTGGACAATGGAACAAGAGGAGGAGCGGAGAAGTCAGGATAAAACAGCCTTTTTACACAAAGCAGAAGATTAACCCCTTAGGTTCCACAGGGAGTATAACAAGTATGCTTTACTTCATATACAGACTGATTTTACTGTTTTGGGTTTAGTAACACTTTAAAGAAATCTGGGAAAAATTATTATTTTTTCATGCAGTTGGGCTGTGTCTGCACTGCATGGGTTAAATGCTCATTTTTAGGGGCTCAGAAAGCAAGGTTATACTTACTAATGCAGACCATACATGGGTCGAATTCTGAAAGAATTTTCTTTAGAAATGTTCTGCATTTTGTAATCCGATGGTGCCATCATTGATTTAGAAATTTGGCCAACCAAGCCTTTAATTTCACTTCATGTTGCTACAGAAACAAATTTTTGTGGTCAAGAATTTTCTTTTCTTTCCAGGTCACAGCTCATGCTCATTTCTTTTTCAATTACATTTCTCACACAACTCTCCCATCATTGATTAGAAATTCATTAGTTTTTAAAAACATTACCAACATGCCGATCACTGAAATTAGATGTTCACTCAAAAATCGTCCGGTGCTGTGGCTAATGGTGTGAAATTCGAACGAAAATTCTTAGAAAAGATTTTCAAAAGAAAATTCTTTCAGAATTCGACTCATGTATGGCTGGCTTTAATTTGCCGATCCTCCGAGCACAAGACCGGTCCCCGCAGCTCCTGCCCCCCACACTCTAGCGCATACCTCCCAATTTTTTGAGATGGGAAAGAGGGACATCTATTATCAAATGTATGTAGGCATAGGATATGCCCCCTGCCACACACCCTTAAAGGGGAATTATACAAAAAAAGATTAGCTAAACCCACAAGTGCTTTTTTTTACAACTACTATGCCTTTATACTGGCTTTTGACATTTACAAATGCAACCATTTAGAAACTAAATGAAAGTTTTATCACTGTGAAACATGTTTTGAAAGTTTAATAGTGCATTTTATATACAATTATATAGATCA